TATTAATATGAAATTAGCAAAGTTGTGGTCTTTTTCTTAATGACTTCTCTGTTTTTATGGCTCCCCGTTAACTGTCATCAGTTTGTGACTCAGGAAAGAGAAGGAATGAAGATAAATATGGTTTTGGTTATCTTTTGCATTAAAAAGCTAGGTACTCCTTGACCTAGTTAATAACATCTCTTCCTGTCTTTCAGTCTTTGTATGTGGAGCCAAGCTACTGATGTACATAAAGAAAAGGTTCTCTAAATGCATATTGACTATTGTTCCTTTCACTTTGCCAAGCCTCAATAGTTGATGTGTTTTTTGAATGCAGATGCAGCATAACCTACAGTCATAGCTCTTAATTTAAAACAGTTTTAACTGTTTTGAATCAACTGCATTGATACGTTGGCTGGATTTCACATTATAAGGTGTGACAGAGCAGCATTTTGACTGAGATGAGAACACAGTTGTTACACATTATCTGCTTTTCTATATATAGACATATATACGATATATATATAAAATGTAATGAATGTGCAGTTATTTTATTCACCATACAGCATTGATGCATATAAAATCTAACTTATAATTAGAGTTTTGCAATGAATGCTCCACCATTTTACTTAATTGCGATAAAGGGCTTCATTAATTTTGTGATTTTCAGCATATGTATCCAATGGAATGTAAAAAAAAAACAGGTTTTTGTCATCTCCAAGAACAGAATACCGAGAAAGACAAGAAGTAGTGTTTGTATTTTCAGCACCAAAATCTTTGAGGTGGAAGGACTCAGGACTTCTCCAGGTGGTCGTGCAGCTGTGAGATTTGCAAAGCTATTTCCTTTCAGTTTTGCAGTCCAAAGAAATTTATTTGCTACGGAAATGATGGCATATGGCTGTTCTTCTACAAATGCTATTCCAAGTATTTTTACAACCTTACGTCATGGAAATAAAAAGCACTAGGCTGTAGTTAGTGCTCCATGTCTTTCTTTGCCCTCTTACCACAGAAGGCTGACTTGTCAGGGAGCTCTGGAGTAACCCAAGACACCAGGCTTCTCCCTGTGAAAGAGGTTGGTGCCACTGTAGCCATGATGTGCATTGAGAGGATTGTGCAGTCCTTCCTTAGGTGGGTCCTCTATGCCAAGTCTTGTCCATAGATTAAGCACTGGTGAAGATTTTGTCACCAGTGCATGGCTAATGTACTGCAGAGGAATGCCAGCTGCATCAATGTCTGTAGCTTGCTTAGTTTACAAGGTATCTGTTTCCAAGACCTTCTTGGTTTTCCCCCACCCAGGGGGGAAGGCCCATGGACAGACACCTCATTGTAGAGCTACCTTGCCAGGGAGCGTGTTGTATTTGCATTCCAGATGCCTTTGGCTTTGTGAGCTGCATTGTTCCAGCCTCCATTGAATAGCAGCTATTGACCCCTAACAATGTACATTTGTTTAAATCAACCCCTTTCCCTGCTTTAAAAGGCTTATTATAGCACCAGCCCAACCAAGTGAAGGCTTCTGTGCAGGCCCCTTTTTTTCCCCTTCATAGCCAGAAAAAAAACTTTGCAGCATTAATTATTTAGTTTCAAGATGGAAAACATTCTCCTCCTTCTGAGAGGCTATTTTGAATGCTGAGGTTTTGGCAAATTTTGTTGCAGTTTATGTTTACAAGCTTCTTATTGCTCTTAAAAGCATAAACTTCACGTTACTTGAGCTTTTGAGATGTTACTTGAGCAGTGGAATAACAGGGGTTTGGTTGTCCTGAAACACTTGAAGAACTTGACTGCATTTTGGCAGATAGGGTTTTTTTGCTCTTTATGTGTGCATTTAGGTGGATTGAGCTCACGTAGAAGGAGATGGACCTGACCAGGACAGACCTTTAGTGCCTGGCAGCAGGCTGGCAAAAGTATTTCCTGGGGGGTGGGGGTAGGCTGGAACCAAATTCTCTTTGCTGCTTGTGTTGACAGTAGTATATGCATCTGCCCCTCAAGCCATCAGGTCTCCAGAGCCTGACTGTGACAGGAAGCTTTGTTGTGCCTTGCTCCTGTGGGGTTACTAGGTCAAGGCAGAAAAGACCAATGAAATAAAGATTTCTGGGACCTGGACAACCTTATAGTCCTTTCGTTTTATGCCATAATAATCCCATTAAAAACATCAAAATACTCAAATGTGGAACAGTGGTTGTCTGATTGAGTGGGATGGTTTAATGAGCTGAGGATTCTTTCTTCTGGTGGCCTGTGTTATGTTAGGAGTATCTCATCTTGCGAGGTTTCTATAGACATTACTGTTGAACGTGTTAGTAAAGTGTTACCTGCATGTTGATGGAGGTGATCCTACCCTCTGGTCAATGCTGGTGAGCTGTGAGCTGGAGTGCTGTGTCCAATTGTGCGCTCCCCAGTGCAGGAGAGACATGTATACACTGGATAGGGTCTAACAAAGGACCAGAAAGATCATGAAGGGTCTCTCTCCTAGGACTGCAAGCTGAGAGAGCTAGAATTCTTAAGCCTGGATAAGGCTCAGGGGGAATTTCACCAGTATATGTAAATACCTGGAGGGAAGATAAAAGAGGAGGGAGCCAGGCTCTTCTTGGTGATGCTCAGTGACAGGTTCAGAGGCAGTGGGCACAGGCTGAAACACAGGAGTCTCACACTGAAAATCAGGAAACACTTGCTACTGTGGGAGTGACAGAGAGCTCTATGTGAGCTGTACTGAGCCCCTGGGCTGGAGGCTCTCCACAGGTCTATTTCAGCCTTCTGTGATGCAGGAATATAGTGAGGTGGCCGAGGACATGCAGAAATCCCAGGCAAAGCTCAGCTCGCCTCACCTTGCCTTCATTGTATGGCATGGTGCAGCATGGGTGCATCATCACATCGTCTCCCTTGCTCGGCACTCATGCATATGTGCTTTAGACCCATTCCACAGTGAGCTAAGTGGGCTCTGCATCACCCAGCCCCACAGGGCTTGATGGGAAGGTGCAAGCCTCAGGTTTTCACACTTGGGCACTCTTGGGGACAGTGAGCTGATGGCAGCACCTCCATTAACCCTTTGTGTCTACATGGTAGTTGTGGTAGATATTCCTTAGTATGAAATATGTAGCTTTCAAAGTTGTCATCACTCCTGTGTCTGTACCTGAGGGACACAGAATATTTCTGTTTGCTGGGTCTGGTGTGGAGGTAGCAGAGGAAGCCCAAGAGCAATGTCCTCACATCAGCCTGCCCTCCTCTGGGAAGTGCAGGGTGGGAGGTACCTACCCTTGGAACAATCAGCATGGGGATATTTGTGGTGTTCAAGTGAATAAAAACAGAGCAGTGCCCTGGGTTTTCTGATGACCAGAGTCTGATGTAGACCCAGGAGAGTGGGTGGAAGTGTTCCAGGTGCTGTTACTGGATTTTGAATTTCATGTTCAAGTCTGATCTATTGCTTTCACCACTTCTGGGGAACCATCTCCCCATTGTTTCCCAGTCCCCTGCTCCCTGCTGCCCACCTCAGGTACTGGTGCTCTCCTTTCTGCTTCGTCTGCCCCAACCCTGCACTTTTGAGTTGACAAACCTTGCATTTGAACTGCTTGAGAATTGCTGTATACCTAGAAACTATCTGTCTCCAGGTTTTGGAAGTAAAAGGGAAAATGCTCCACAGGCATTTGTGGCATTGAAAATGGAAAGCAGGTTGTGAAAAGATGCAGTGGCAAAAATAAAAAGGGGGATTCTCTTACCTTGTCCTCAGCGTCCAGGTGAACTCTTACCATTTACAGAAACCAAACAGCAAGAGTTTTTTAATTCTCCATGAGTACTGTTTTGTCTCAATGCTGATATTGTCGCATCACAGAAAGAAGAATAATGTTTATTCAACATTATCTAAAAGCATATGTAACTTGTAATGTGTCCAAAGTCCATGGTAAACTCATGGGCCACTCACCTTAAATAGGCAACAGAATAAAAATCTGTATTTGTCTTGATTATTAATCAGGACTGCACCCCCTCCACCTTAGAAAGACTTTATGTCTGGTTTCTCTGTGTCAAAATTCAGGCAAGGACGGCCTTTGGATGCTAGCATGCAAAATTATTTTAATTGTTCTTTTTCTGTTAAACCTTATGGTTGTTAGGATATATTCCAGCACTTTTCTACCACTCCTTTACTTTTTCTTTAGGAGGGTATTTGATTGTTCTGGTGAAAAAAAATCTCTGTTCTCTGAAAGCCACTAAAATACTGTTGCCCTGATATGGCGCCAGATGTTTGAAGAGAATGGGAGTATAGTTTGGGTTGGAAGTCAGGCCGTGGGTCACTGGTGCTCAGTGTTTTCATACAAAAGTCTTCTCCTGTGCAGGAGCAACTCAAGTGGCTATCACTTATGGGATGGCTTGTGGTCCTTCTCCCTTGTTCTGAGTGCTAGATATTTCTGTTTCCTTAATGCTGCATCTACTGGCCAGGTACTACCTGCTCTACTAGACTGACTTAGGTGTCTCCTATGCCTCCATAGCAAATATCAGTTCTTTGTAACCTTACTTGCTACTAGTTGGTCTTTTTCTTTTTTTTTTTTAATCCTCTGCATTGTTGTGCAGCCAAGAGAGGAGAACCATATAAAGAGAAGTAGTTTAGAAAAAAGGTGAAAGATAGAAGTGCTGGGAGTGTCTGACTGAGGTTGAAAATAAACAGGTAGCGAGCCAGCTGGCTTTGGGGCAGATCTTCTAAACTGTGTGTAAATTCAAACACTGTTCTGTAATTTTATGTGTGCTAGCATGAGGCACATGACTTAAAGGATTGGCTCCAGCTGCTATTGCCGGCATTTAGGAACTTGTAAAAAAAAAAATAAATAAAAAGGCACTTTAGTGTATTTCTCTCGTGTTTACTGATTGAGCAGATACCAACAAATACTTGCTAAAAAATTATTTTATTTTCTTTTGCTTGCTTATTTGGGTTTTGCTTTCTCTTTCTCTCCTATTCCTTGATAAGTATTTCCAGAGAAAAATAGTGAGTAGAATTCTTTCTTCAGTTTTTCTGTTATGCCAACCGTAACTCTGTTTTTTTTTTATTGCAGGGGTCTCGGGTCTGGCTGCGAGAAAATAATCAGCATTATCCCAGCACTGTTCATTCCTGTGCAGAAGGAGTTGTCGTATTCAGGACAGATTATGGTCAGGTATGGGCATTGTTCCTCTATGTTTTGTCTTTTTCACAACTCAGTAGAAAATAAGCTTTCACAGAACCACAGAATGGGTCAGGTTGGAAGAGCCCACAGTGGTCATCTGGTCTATCCTTCCCTTACAGTAACAGAAATTTGGGGCTGGCACATGGCCAAAAAAGTAAAAGCATGTCTTTCAGAGGCAGGGAACCCTTGCTTTCTTTACATGCCTTTCTCCAGGCAGGAAAGGAACCAGACAGAATTGTGGAGTGGCTTTTGATGGGCAAGATGTAATGTACTCGTGATTAAATTGCTGCTGTGCTGGCACTGTGGGATGAAAATGATGGAGCGACTGCATCAGCGAGGAAGGGAAGAGCTGTGCATGTTATCTGTCTGGAGTTTTCTAAAGCCTTTGACACAGAACCCCACAACATCCTTCCCCCTAAATTGGAGAGATATGAATTGGATGGATGAACTCTTTGGTGGATGAGGAATTGTTTGGATGGTTGCATCCAGACAGTGGTGATCAAGAGCTGAATTGGTGACAAGGATGTCCCTTGGGGTTCTGGACTGGGACCAGAACTGTTTAATGCCTTCATCAGTGGCACTGGCAGTGGGATAGAGCACAGCCTCAGCATGTTTGCAGATGACACCAAGCTGAGTGCTGCAGCTGACAAGCCTGAAGGATGGAATGCCATCCAGAGGGGACCTGGATAAGCTTGAGAAGTGGGCACATGCATATACTTCATGAAGTTCTATGAGGTCAAGTACAAGTTTCATGCATTTGGGTTAGGGCATCCTCTGGTATCCGTACAGACTGATTGAGAACAGCCCTGCCAAGAGGGATTTCAGGGTGCTGGTGGATGAAAAGCTGGACATGAGCTGGCAATGTGTGGACAGCCTAGGAAACCAGCTGTATCTTGGGTTGTATCAAAAGCAGCATTGCCAGTAGGTCAAGGGAGGGAATTCTGCCCCTCTCAAACTTGAGGCATGGAGAAGGCCCCAGGGGGGTCTTATAGCACCTTCCAGTAGCAAAAGGGGGCCTACAAGAAAGCTGGGGACAAACCTTTTAGTAGGACCCCTGTTGCAGTAGGACAAGGGGTAGTTGTTTTAAACTAAAAGGGTAGATTTAGATGAGATTAAGGAATAAATTATTTATTTTGAGGGTTGTGAGACACTGGAACATATTGCCCAGAGAAGTTGTGTATACCTGAAATTCATCAAGGTCAGGTTAAATGGGGTTTTGAGCAACTTGGTGTATTGGAAGGTATTCCCTCTTGCGGCAGGGGGGTTGGACTAGATGACCTTTACAGGTCTCTCCAATCCAAAGCATTCTGTAATTCCATCATCCTTTTCTCTTGTGGTTATTGGTGACCCAGACACACATGGTGTAGGGGAGGACATCCACAAAATTGGACTGAGAAGAACAACTACCACTGAATAGAAGGCCTCCTCTCAGAGAAACAAGAAAGCCACCTATGTGCTGGTGTGTTCATTGTGGGTTGCATGTAAAACCTTTAAAGTTCTCAGATTTGGGATGTTGCATATTTTGACTTTTCTTACTGAAATTTGAATTCCAGTTAAGTGGAAAGGCTGAAACTGTCTTCTCTGTTGGCTTTTTCAAGCTGAAATAAGAAGACTCCATCACATTAAAGCATCACCATTACATTTGAACTGCAGTGTAGAAAGGCTGCTGTGTGTGTTACACTCACATCCCGCAGGAAGTGTTATCTTAAATATATCTTTCATCTTAAACACCAGGCCTTTCCAGTGACCCACGTGCTTACATGGGAGATTACCTGTAGTTTTCACAGGATTTTGTAATTGGATGTGTAACCATAAAGAGCCTGACTTTTAGAATTGTTTTGAGCTGCAAAATCTAAGGATACTTAAGGGAACCGCAGATGCCCCTGTAAAAGGGACAGCTTGCTTCGGTGCCTTAGAAAAGAATGGCAGAACTAGTGCTGACATCCACCAGCAGGTAAGTTGCTTGTTAATGGTGATCTGTGTACATATTGTGTGTGATGTTGCTGACTTTCCATGGTGTCCATAATGCAAGTTGAAATTTCAAATAATATGGAAAAAGTCTCAACTCTTTACTGTGATCTCATCCAATTGATTAAATTTGCTTAGAAAACCCTGGTGTTATAAACATGACTGGGCAAAAAATAGCCTCCTTTTTTTTGGGTGTACATGTGTTAAAACCAGGTGTTGCAAAATGGAAAGACCTAGGAGTCTGCCTTCAGACCTGTCATGTGGCATTCTACCTCCTCAGTGGGTCTGAGCTGGCAGCTGCACAGCCAAAGGCAGCTAAAATAGTAGAAATTCACTGCATTTGATAACCTTAATGATTTCCAGGGCTTGTGGTTTCAGGAGTGGACTTCATGTGTAAAAGAACTGTGCCAGCTGACATTGGTCAATTAATATCTTTTCTTCCATTGCTTTTCCTGATGTGCTTTTAGACCATCCTGCCCTTGCTGTTTGGTTACCTATGGGCTACAGAAGGTTACAAGCAGGTGAAACGAAACCAAGATAATGCCTGACTATTACCTCTGACTTTTTGGCAATTCCTATAATGCTTGATATCACCTTGAAGAACCAGAGAGGGGAAGCAAGGGGTGAGGTTGCAGAAATATGGGCTGATGATGCTTTTTGAAGCATAGTTGGTGTATTGCTTCCTACATCATTTTGACAGCTGGAGCTCATGTTCAAGTCTAATGACAAACTGATGAAAGCGTTGGGACCTTATCAAAGCACAGCATTGTTATTCATCTTCTCGATTCAGTAGCTTCTACTAGACTTTGCACTTCTCACCTTTCCACTGAGCATTTTGCATGTCTTCTGAAGACAGCAGCAGGGCAGTGGTACTGGGGAGGTGTGTTGCTGGAGTTGGTTTTGGATTTTACTTTTTTTTAAGTCTGGACTTCAAGTCTTTGCCAATGTCAGTTTGAAGAATTATTAAAATTTTGTAGCACAGTACATTACTTCTTAGTTTCTTCTTTCTGTGCTTTTGTGAGTGGTGGAAGTTAATTTGCCACAAAAACCTGTAGCAGCATAGAGTTGTGTGCTGAAGGAGTGGTTGTAGGGAATCCTACTCAGTGTGAAGGTAGCATTTTATATTGATACTTTAACAAGCTGCATAGCAATTTCTTGTTTATCACATGGTGCTATAATTCCTCCTCTAATGTTCTTGTATTTATTGAGTGTTACAGTTAAATAGTTTGTTTGCTAATTATCGTTTAAGACAACTGTGATACTGTGATACTGTCATCTGCTGTTGTCATCCTCTGTGAGATGGTTGTAAAACTAGCTGATTTGATGGTCTGTGAGGAATATCTGATACATGTGATATGGTGTACTAAAATGGAGAATATCACATTGTAAGTTTGGATTTCCCTGGGCAAATAGCTGTGAAAAATTCTTTAGGAGAAGAAGAAAAATGTGGCATTTTGTGGCATTGTATGGGGCTAGATGAAAGCCTCATTAAATAAAAGGAGGGGAAGAGTACCTCAGGCGTGTATTTCAGCAGCCTGGGACAAGATAAAGGAGTGGGAGATGAAAGGTGTGAACTCCCTCTTAGCACGTGCTTATGATGCTGGGCTGCAGGTGGCTCTGGAGTAGCTCTCCAAAGCTTCCTGCAGGCTGGCCTTCAAAACAGAGAGTCTGCAGGGACTGGAAAAGCTACGATGTGCAGACAATTCATATTGTAAATATATTTACCTTCATAAGCACAAACCTTGTGCTTTCCAGAAGAGAAGATGCTGTTTTGCTAGCTGGTGGGTGGGTTGGTTGTGTTGTTTGGTATTTTGTTCCACTGGTGTGCAGTGAGCTGGTGAAGGGCTCTGTCCTGGATGTTTTGGAAACACCATGTCTATGACTATACTGTATTGATACAGTATATTCATACTTAGTATGAATATATTAAGTATGTCAGTGAAGTCTATGAACAATTAGAATTAAAAAATGTACATCCTAATCTTTCTTTGTGTGTTTGTATACATATTCATATATAAGATCACATTACAGTTACTGCTTTTTTTTTTTCATGTTTGAGAATATTTTCACTTCATCTATTTTTAGGGTGTAAATTACTTCTTCCTTAAAGGTTTTATTTACAGTAAGGCAGACATTTCCTCATTGTCTTACTGGATTTTTAATGAAGTTGTGTGAGCTTACAAAGTACTCAAGTGAATGTTTAAATAAAATCCTAGAAGTCCTGCTGTCATTTTATGTTTTGTTTGAAATTACTTTTTTGTGTATGTTAAGTAATCGGTGGTTCCATTGGGGAAAAACCTCTTTCCAGTTTTTCTCTTTTTTCTTTCTTTTTTCTGAATACTGTGAACTTTATTTCAGATCAAAGAGGACTGTGTTGTGCTCCTGACTTGTACAGACACACGTGAAACTGTCTGCAGTGAAAGCACAGATAGTAAATAAAAAAAGCTGGGGAGGAGTGAAATCTTTCAGAAGAGCCATGTTGTGTTGCATGGCATTGATTTCAAGAACATTTTCCTAGTCTCCTAAATAGGACTCTCTACTTTTTCTTCTATTTGTACATCCAAATATATATAAAAGTAATGCAAAGCGTTAGTATATATACAGTCAGTATCAAAGGACTTTTTCTTTCTTTTATCTTTTAATGCATTCATGGCTGTTGGTGCAAGTAGCACTATGTTGAAACCTTTGAGAATTGAGGACTTCCAGAATACCACCTAAGAACACACATTTTTGATAACATCCATTCCCTTGCAAGGGAAGAAATGTATATGTACGATATAACTAATGTGTGTGTGTGTATGTGTGTAGGGGAAATCTTATCTGAACAAACTCATAGAGGGAGAAGTAAAAGTTGTATCAATTGATGCAAACTGTCCTCCATGTGACACTAAAATTTCAGAATACTTAATTGCCTATTCACTTAGCTGACTGAGAGAAACTTTTACATCAAATGTTATAAATAGAAGCAGCTGAGTGATAATATCCAAAATATGTAGGCTCTTTAAAAACAGATGTCATATTCA